CTCACTGGCTGAGCTTGGGGTGGGAGCAACACCGAGGGTTGCGATCCCGTTGCCGGTCCCGGTCCGGTATGGGCGCGACACTGAGGGTTGCGATCCCGTTGCCGGTCCCGGTCCGGTACGGGCACGACATTGAGGGTTGCGATCCGTTGCCGGACACGAAAAAAAACCAAAAAAAAGAAAAAAAAAAAAAAAAAAAGTAGGAGTCTACGCAGGTCTGGAAGTGAAATCAAGGTTAGATTAAGTTGCAATACCAACAAGTAAGGATTAGGAGCAGTTATCAAATGTTTATGTCTTTAAATTTTATTGTATTGCTTTTAAATGTAATATTCTTTTATATTACCTTTTTGGTTGATTTTAGAAGAGTTATACATTATTTGCATTGTTGCCCATTTTGTTTGTGTTAAAATGAACATCTAGTTTCTCTCTGAAAAGGATTTTAGCCTGCCAAGTGGATCTCTTAGTTGAAGTCCTTATAAAGCATAATTTCAGAAAAGAATCAGTCCCACGCATGGCTTGGCCGACTGCTAAAGTTACTGGCTCTGCAGTGAACGGGCTGGCAGAGCTGCTTCCTCTCAGCAACCAGGACCCTGATCTCACTGTTGATCAAAAACTTTTACAGAGCTTGACCGAGGGAACAACACTTGAAATGCTCCGTTCTTCCGTTCTTGATCCCTTTTGAGAATCTGATGCAAGTTAATGGTGCTATCAGCTCCCTAGAAAAAATATACCCACAGCACACACACATACTGACACACACACACACACACACACACACCTATTTTCAGGAGGTTCACAAATTCTTCTGATGCCCAAACTCCTAGCCTGGATACTCTAAAATCCATTCTTGGATTAAGCCAGACCGCCATAAAGCTGGCCCTGGACTTCATCTTATGGGTACTCTGTGAAAGTCCTCTTATTGCATTAAGTTCTGGTAAGAAGCCATCAACCTTTATTGAGGTGCATTATAAGAAAGAGCCCCATAAAATCCATCTCAATGTTTACTGGAAGGATAGTTTTAGAGGCTTGTTTATTACATTAGACTGCAATTTTCTCTGAGGACCCACAGGGAAAACTTCTCCCTGGTATCAACATCAGGAATAGCTGGACTTAGGCAACTGGTTTGTTTTTACCCCCTGAACACTGCAATAGATCCCTTTTTCCCCTTCTGGTAAGCTCAGAGCTCTGCAACCCTGCTGTAGCCAGGCACAGGAACTTCAGGGTGTGCATACTGTGAGCTAGTGTAATTCCTGCCCCATCCTATTTTCCTACCATTGCTTTCATATTGCTTCGTTTTTCTTATTTTAATTTATTTCTATCATGCTCTATTTATCTGTTTTGGAAGCAACCTTAACTCTACTTTGGACAAGGAGGGGTATGAATAAAGTATTTAGGATTTATTTTTTCTTTCTTTGCTTTTATTTTTCTCTTTGCAGGG